TGCTTTAGATACAAAAAAAAAAGTTTATATACAAAAGTGCTCTTTTTATAAAACTATAGTGGAACTATAGTTCCACCCTTACTTCTTAAGAAGTCCCATAAGCCAACTGAATGGCTTGTGCGGGTTAGGGGTAGGAACGGACCGCGGGCTTAAAGTCCCCTCCGAAGGACTATTACACAATAGGACAAACACAAATAAACAGCCATACCCCTGGTGGGATTCGAACCCACGACCTTCGGCTTGTAGTCAGCAGAACTAACCACTCGTCCACCGTCGGCGAGATAGATCTAGACATAATAAAAATGTTTCTTTATTTAAATTTTGTGAACTAATTACGGAACATAAAGAATCATAGACTGCTCTAATAGTGGATCTTTTTTTTCTAAAACCATTTTGACTTTCAGTAATAATATTGTGTTTATCGAGAAATTGAATAACTCTGTGATATATCACTTTTTCAAAAACTTTGCTAAAATTACTTAATAACGCTATGGGTCTATAGTTATTAATTTCATTTTTCTTATATTCTATAGATTTTATAAAAATATGTTTAGTTAACAATATAATTCATTAATATTAGAACCGATGTTGGAAATGTCTGGAACTGCATAGATGGGTATGTCTCATTTAACTTTAAATTCCAGATATAACTTTTTAAGTATTTTTGATTGTTCAAAAAATTATATTTTTTTGAATTTTTAAATTCAGTAAACCTTTGCAAGTATATACCTACCAAAAGCAGTACAGTTTTTACCCATTTTATCTTTTTTTTAAGGTTTTAAGCAAAATATCAAGTCATCTACGCCACCAATTAAAAAAAATATTTAAATTTAAGTTTAAAATTAATTAAATAGTTTTTAGTATATATCATTATTTATTATCAAAATACAGTACGTACTTTTATTACTCGTCACCTTCGTTGCCGGTTTTATTAGACTACTGCGTTTTTTTATATATAAAAAAACGCAGTAGTCTAACAAAACCGGTAACGAAGGTGACGAGTAATAAAAGTACGTACCTGTTCCAACAGAATCACGTAGAATTTTCTGGAACAACGACAATAAATAAACCACCTACACGTTTCCAGTAGCAAAATAAGACTGATTCACTGCTCTAGTCAAGAACGTTTGACCAAAAATCATCCCCACCAATATTCCATTTCGTAAATAATAGTAAGTGGCGTAGATGACCCTTACCTTATGGGACACAATATCTAGAGTCTTAAAAACTAAACAAATTTAAAAAAAAACTAAAATTTGATAAATTGGGTGAACTTGATGTTTACTCTATGAGTTTATAAGGTTAAACTTAAGAAACAGTGCAATTTACATTTAAAAAACTATTTTGCACATTTAGTTTCGGGTGAGGGACCGGTAGTGTAGGTGACATTATAAATGTTTCCAATTAAATAAAAATATATTTTATATATTTTTTACAATTTATTTTATATAAATGCGCTAAAGAGCATGATAGTTTTTAAGTGATGTCCTAAAAACTTGCAAAATATTATTATTTAAAAAAATATTTGGCCGGGACAGGTCATTTTTAAGTTAAATGAGACATACCCAGATGACCATATCATATGTCCACTTTTAAATCATATGGGCTTAAAAGTTGTGGTACAATAATACAGTACAGGAATCCTGGAAACTTAAGTGTGCATATTTACCTTAAAAATTGAGATTTTTGCACTAGAAACTAAAAAATTTAGATATTTTTCCCGTGGTTTATATTTGCTTCTTAATCAATATTCTGGTATTTAATTATACAAAACAACTTAAAAATTAAAAATCTTTACCATTTTGAATGATTTATGCAAGTAGAAGTATCAGATCTTGACGAAGGTGAACATCTTAAAATTTTAGTAACTGTTTTATAGGTATTGCAGCAATCATTTGATCCGATAATAGACCATTCAGCAATTACCACGTGGAGGTAAATGCAAGTCGAGTGCCTACCCAACCAATTAAGGGCATGCTCATCTAGTCAGCTTTGTATTGCGATTTGGTCTCAAAATAGGGCATTACCAAAAATACCTACCCAGGCATTAAGTAGCGACAATTATGGTGAATAACAAACAGTTGAATCTTAGAATAAATGTACACTCGTCTGAAAAACATCTTACCAGATTTACTCCTGACTGTACGTTTAGGTTCAAATATCTGTTTTTTGTTCTCTACTGATCAGGTAACTTTGTTATCAAATTCAAAACTAATAACCAGCCTACCCGGATGTGTACTAAATAATGCTGCTAACCTATTTTTGCAAGATTTTTTTGACATATGGAATGTTGAACGTTGAATGAGGTTATATGTCTTCTTTACGTGGGTTCAGCCGATTTCTTGGGTTTTCTAGTATTTATTATAGGACGACAATACAATTCGACTTGCATTCACCTACATGTGGTAATTGCAGAATTGTCTGTTATTAGATTAACAAAGACCTGCAAAACCTAGTTATAAAACAGTTACTAAAATGCTGGCAAACATCTAAATACGGCCTTCTATATGCATAAATCATTTATAAGGGTAAAGATTAAAATGTGTTTTGTATCATTATATACCAGAATAATGCATAAGAAGCTAAAAGTCTCTATTTTTAAGTTTTTAGTTCCAACGTGAATCCGTAGACCCAGCCGGGGATTGAACTCAGCTCTGTCACTTGTCAAGCTTGTCAAGCTGTTGTCATAACCAATGTGGCTATCAGTCCCTCTTATAAAAATCAATTGTATTTGTCAATAAATATTGTTCATAAAATTTTTAAGTTGAATATATTATTTGTGTTGCTGTTTTGAGCAAAACTTTTTGCATCTTTGTTTGTTTTTATGGGCCATTTAACCATGGAGCCTAAATGCATTTAATTCAATACTTTGTTGTTGGCCGCAAACTATTAAAGAAATTAGTTACTTTTAACTCTCAGAAATACTCAAAGATGGTGACTAATCTTAAATTAGTCAAACTTTTAACTATTTAGGTAGTAAAAAATAACTATTTAAAAGTCAAAACGACTATTTTATTAGGAAAAAATGCTGGTACTATTTTAAATAGTAGAATTTAGATTACTTCATTTTAAGAGAGTACTTATAATTTTTTTTGTCTTTTAAGGCACAAAATTTTAATTTTAAATATCTAACAGACCATCCATTATATCCTAAAATTCATTAATTAATTAATTCGTGTAATCATTAATATAACACTGGTCCATATAATGAAATTTCTTGTTTGACAAAGGGTGGCCAATAACTTTCCAAGCTCTCTAAAAATGAATTAGTTAAAAATGACTAATTTAATAGTTATTAGTGGCTGCTTTTTCACTTGTACCATGGTTAACCATGGAATACCATGATATCCCAAAATTTAACAGACAGAGAGTTCTCATGTAAAATTGTCCCCTGAATCCGAAAATACGGTTAAAAATTATTAAAGTAGAGCAGTTTTTAAGATATAGTCAATTCCATATTAAATGGAAAATTGACTATATCTCAAAAACTGTTCTACTCTTTTAACTTTTGATGACATTTTCGGATTCAGGGGACAATTTTACTTAAGAATTGGCTGTTAAATTTTGGGATACTATGGTATTACATGGTTAACCATGGTACAAGTGAAAAAGCAGCCACTAATAACTATTAAATTACTCATTTTTGACTAATTCATTTTTAGAGAGAGGGTAATTTGGGTGCGCTGATTCTAAAATTATCCATTTAGCTCAAATAGCTCTTGCTTAGCTTTTGTGACATGCAAATAATAAAATTTGTATATTAGGGTGGTCCTTACTTGGGGTGTTTTTGAATTTTTGCCTTCCATGTGGTGTAATCGCAAACAATTTTAACTCTCATTTGGTGGCACCCCAAGTATGTTTTTAAAAAGTCTTTAAAAACTCGTAGCACCGCCCACTGCCTTTGAAATCCAAAATAAATTGTGGTCAATGCTTAGGTCACTTAAAGGTATAATATACCCACATTTAAACACAATCGGACAACTTTGATTTGTTTGATGCCCGAATAAGTAACGTTAAATGCCCCATTTCTTAGTGGCACCCCTTAATAACAATACCTTGCCAAAATTAGACAATTTAAAAAATTTGTAGCTCTTTCAAATAAAAATAGGCAAGCTGACACTCAAAACAACCGCGCGTGTCAGAATTGATATATCATATCATATATGTATGGTAATTTTTGCTATTGGTAATTGTAGGACTTTTTAAAAAAATTATGTGCACAACGTTAATTAATAAATGCTTAATGATAAATATATATTTTAATTTATTACTGATGACAGAATTAACGAGTTGTTTTTAGTTCCAATTTGACAATTTTTATTTGATTGCGTTAAAATTTGTCTCCTTTTTAACATCACCAAAACGATTCATTTTAAAGAGTTTTGTGCAAAAACGTAAAAAACTGCTGTCATAGCAAGGTGCATGGTATTTCCACTTATTAATTTTTAACAATGGTATTTTCTTATTAAGCAACACATTTAAATCGTCCTATGGTCTATTATCAACGGTTTAACGAACCTATCATTAACGGTTTAAAATAACATAATATTTTCACACCCTGTGTATACCCTGTCAACACCAAAAAATGTTTGTAATTTTTCATACTAAATTTTTAAGTGTTGATTAACTTTAAAACTTTTAATTTTTTTTCTTTATGTAATTTACCATCAGTAAAACGTTATTAATTTTTTAGTGCCTTTCTTAATTTAGTGCGCTATATCGTTAATTTAAACCAAATTTGTTTCTAAAAATACAACATATTTAATTTCATAATAATTATGTGCTAATACGCTAAAATTAAATAATTTAATAGCGCGTAACGTAAAATTAATCCATAATTTAAAACGTGTTAAAAATATTAAATGAAATATAAATTTTAATAGCTAAATAAATGTACTAAATATGTAGGTGATACTGAGAATTACTGGGTACTTTAAATTGTTTGCATATTGCATTGGTTTAGATTGTAGATTATAACATATTAATTTTTTTTATTTTAGGTGGATATGCAAAATTCACTGGTCTAAAAACATACAATAAAAATCTAAAAACCATGTTAGCCATTGGTGGTTGGAATGAAGGTTCATCTAGATTTTCACCAATGGTCGCGAGTTCCGAAAGAAGAAAGGAGTTGGTAAAAAACGCTGTAAAATTCTTAAGACAAAACCACTTTGATGGTCTCGATCTTGACTGGGAATATCCTACGTTTAGGGATGGTGGGAAATCGAGGGATAGAGACAACTATGCCCAACTCGTAAAGGTAAAACAACTTAATTAATTATATTTGTGACAATCATGGCCACTTTCATTAAAGTTAATCACCGTGACTATAAATATAAGGTATATATTGTCAAATCATATTTATTAACATTACTTGTAACAAATTAAAAATCACTATTAACATTGACATTGTTTATTATAAATTGCTAATTTTAAGAAGGCAGTTTTATATTGATAGTAATAGTATTTAAATTATGCTTTAGATTTATGCCACTAGGTTAAAAAGTACTCCTATATCTACTTAAGGTGAAAATTTTTAGACACATAAAACACCTGTTATTTGTCTACAATTTAATTTTACTAATGTAAATTAAGAAATGTTTTTATGAAACAAAATAGCACATAATTATTTTACTACTACTTCATTTTTAGTAAGTAGTGATAAAAGTGGAGGATGCGCCGGTAGTAAATGTCAAAAATTCAATTACACTGGTCGACAGTTTTTTTGACATGCAAACATTACAATATTAAATATTTTGTTAATCAAATATTTTAAACAAGGATCTTGGTAATTTAGCTATTGATCCTAATTAAAATTCAAAAAAGTTATTGCCTTTTAAAGTAACAAAATAAATTTTTTTTTAGACAAAATTGGATTTTTAAAGTGCTAAAACATGAACAATTTTTGTCCGATTTGAATGAAGTTTACGAAATTTTTACAGCACTTTAAATTTGTCTCTTTTATTGATAACCCTGTACTACCTGTTAAGTACATTAATTATTGCATTTAATGTTATTAAAATCAACGGATTATGTTATTATGTTTATTGTCATGTTTTAATACACGTGCCTTACACAAGTTGTTAATTAAACGCAGGCGAACATGTTTTAGTTTGTTGTATAACTACAAAGGCCAAACCTGCAGGTATGCAGGTATATAGTTATACAACAAACTAAAAAACTAGAAAACCTACAAGTAAATAACAAATTTATAATTTATTCCATTATTTTAATTAATTAAGATACAGGCTTTAATTGATTTTAATTGGAGGAAATAAATAATTATTTTGCAAATAACAAATTTTATGTAGCTGTCCTTAAAGATAATAAACTGGTTAAAAAAGTGGCTGCGGTTTTAAAAAATTATCATTTAATTTAAACTGAGAGCGGAGAGGTCGACCGTGTACAATCTATAAAAGTATATTTTACTTTCAAAAATGTACAGAAATAATAATAAATAACTTATTTAAATATATTTTATCTATTTTGCGTTCATAATGACTTCATTATAACACCGCTTTCGGTGCTGTAATGAGATACTTTATCACACCCAGAATTTTGATTGGCTATTATAGCCAACCTATAAAATCAAAATTCCGGCCAGGCTATACTTTAAACAGAATAATATTTTGCATATTGGTTATAATATTTTTATGATTTTTCTAGTTCTTACAAGACTTTTCAGGCAATCAATTTTGTTTAACAACAAAAAAATCATTTTTTTCTTCTTTAACATTAACAGCCGCTTATTGTAAATAAGTAAATTAAGGACGGCATGGCGAATCGATTTTGACATTAACTGTCAAACTATCTAAAGTAAAATTCGACCAAATTAAATTTAAGGTATAAAATTATTTTTTTTTAAGAATTTTTGCAAAATAGATAAAATAACATAAAGAACTCATGTCATAAGACCTTTTGTCGCACTCGTCCATTACAATTGATATATACTATTATCTACTCTCACATTAAGAAACTGTGACGGTTTTAGTCAAGGGCTGAAGTTAGCTTCTTCTTTTTTTCTGAGGAAATTTACATTATTATTATTGGGCTCACAAATATAGGTAGGTACTATTAAACAAAAAAGAAAATGAAATGGAGGGACAAAAGGGCAACAACATGGGTATTTCAAATTGAATATACATATTATAATATTATTAACAGTTTTTGCCAGTAATACAAGTTTAAAAGGAATTTTATAAGTAAATAAAAAATAAACCCTGTAGGTAAAAACAATTGTTTTTGCTCGAAAGCAAAAACAGGCACAGTGTATGAAACTATTGTTTTTATCATTTGTAATATTTATTTCACAAATAATTAAAAATAGGCTCTGAAACAATATTTTTAGTTTTTAAATAAAATACGTAGGGTAAAAAAATCTAGAATAAAACTTTTACTAAATTTGTATAAGTATTAAAAATGAAACCTATTAATCCAAAGTTAGCAAAAGTACAATTATTTAAAATATTTTTTCAGGAATTAAGAGAAGAGTTCGAAAGAGAATCAGAAAAAACCGGCCGAACAAGACTGTTGCTTACCATGGCCGTTCCCGCAGGAATTGAATATATTAATAAAGGTTATGACGTGCCCAAATTGTCAAAGTAAGTAGCATTTAAAAAAATAATATATTATCATAAGAATGAGTCTGACTAATATGGTAAGGACGTGTCTGCAACAAGTCAATAAAATAAAAAATAAAGTAAAAAATAAAACGCATGAGCTCATAAGGTTTTTTCTTTGTTTGTTTTTTGTATAACAAAAATATTTCTTTTAATAGCACTAAGAAAATTTTTCCCTCAAGCTATAAAATTGTACAGAAGTAATTAATATTAAACTAATTAAAGTTATATTTATAAATATAATTAATTCGAGAAATACAATTTTTAATTAAATTAGCTTTTTGAAAGGAACTAACCTTTATTAATATTTTTTTAGATACTTGGACTGGATGAACATTTTAAGTTACGATTACCATTCATCTTATGAACCATCAGTAAACCACCACGCTCCTTTGTTAGGTTTAGAAGAAGATTCTGAATATAATTATGATGCTGACCTAAATATCGTAAGTTGTTTTTTTCTTCCACTTTTAAAACGATCATTATCCTACATGCAGCGAGTGCGTACATTTTTTTATGTTTTTTAGTGACGGACTGAAGTTAGCTTTAAATTAATTAACAGTTGTCAAATGTTATGCAATCGTTAAAATAAAGTGCCTTTTAGTCACAGACCACCAAAACAAATGGACGGATTTGTTTACGTTTAAAAAGCGAGTAAAGCATACTTTCACATTCTAAACACCGTCGAAAGAAACACGGCTTCCAACGTTGTCAGAAGTATAGATTACACGCCTTTTTGGACGTTCATCAAACATAATGAACATTAATAATTACCAGTAATTCGTTTGAATAATAAAAAAATTGTAAAAAGGATTTGTTCATCATTTTCTTTAGATATTTTTCTCTATTTAAAGAAAGTAAATCATTTAATAATTATTAAAATTGAATATTAACAACGTTGGTAAATTCGCCATATTTGACAGCATAGAAAAAGGTTATGTTCTGTGGGTTGACAGCTTGTTGTTTTGTGTTTTCGTTTGTGTATTTCTATCGTGTTTAAGTTAATTATGGAGTTTAAATACAATATTTTTTACTAAAAATAACAAAACCTACCTACTTATTTTTTTAATCCCATTTTTTTATCCCAATACGTCACTGGAAGAAAACATAAAATTCTATCGCCAATTTAACGCTTAGACCAGTGTTACCAGATTCTGTCAAAAAAGGACCGTACGTTTCGTTCGAATTTACCTTAATTACAAAATGACACAATGAAACAATGCAAATAAATGAGCCATTGAGTCATTTTTGTAATTAAGGTAAATTCGAACGAAACGTACGGTCTTTTTTTGACAGAATCTGGTAACACTGGCTTAGACTGCGACCGTTTGATGACGTCACTGGAAGAAAACATAAAATTCTATCTCCAATTTGACGCTTAGACTGTGACCGTTTGTTGACCGCAAACAAATCATTGTTATTGAATGGCAATGCGCCGTCCATTTGTTTTGGTGGTCTGTGCTTTTAGTGAAATAATACTAACATGTGAAAATTGTTTTATTATTTAAATACAAGAATACAAAATTATTTAATAGTTTTTTGACGCTACTCTTTGAAAAGTTTATGCACATTTGTACTGATTTTGCCGGCAGCAAACTAGTATTTGCCGATAAAGCATTAGTAATTTCGGGTATATTAGTAATATAATATTACCCATAAAAACATCCTCGTTACTTTCACTGTAAAAAACTGCATGTATAACGGATTTAAACAGTTTTTAGTTAATTTTAAAGGAAGAAATTTCGATTTTCACAGGAAAATTTTATAAAACTGACTGACATTTGAAAGCCGTTAACACCAATTTTGCTCACTCTATTTTTGTATAAACTTCGCTCTATACAAATATTAAAAATTAGTAAAACATTATTTTTTATAATAATTTTTGTCATATGCAACAAGTTTATAAACTTTTCTAGACACTCATTTCAATTAAACACTCGCTCGTAAGCTTCGCTCGTTTATCAAACATAATATACTATAATATTCTAAACTATTAGTATTTTAAAAATATTTGAAAATCTTTAACTCCATATATATATATATATATATATATATATATATATATATATATATATATATATATATACAGTGAGATCCAAATGTTTGCGACTCACCCCTGTAAAATCTTATTTATTGTGCGATTTTAACCGGATTTGTACAAAATACAACGCCAACTATTTACTCATAGTAATACTACCATGTTACTATTAGTTTAATTTTATTTTAATGGTTTTTTCATGGATAACTTGACAAAATAAATTTTTGTATTTATAATGGTGCATTTTTTTTCTTAAAATTTTTCAATAAAATTTTGTATAGGGTCGTTTTAGGGCGGTGAATCCAGTGCAGTGCTTAGATTTTGTTTAAAAAAATCGCTTATATAAATTCTTAAAAATTTACTCTTAAAAACTTACATGTATGACCTTCTATTTTGTAAAAATATTGCGTTTTTTGCTTCAAAAATACAGTTTATTAAGATCTACACTTTAAAATAAACCCGGTTAAAATCACACAATAAATAAAGATTTTACAGGGGTGAGTCGCAAACAAATGGGTCACAATGTATATATAAAATAATAATAATGATTATCCAATAATCTTAGAATAAATTAAATTTAACAATTGTAACATATTAATGTATAAGAAAGTAATAATTTAAATATTTATTATATTTATCTCCACGCGGTCTATAATTTAAACTTTATTGTTGTCAACATTCGATAAAGAAATAACTTGTTATGGCCTAGGCCGATAAAAATTTTTATGAGGCAAGTAATTAGTTCGATTTTTTCTCGCTAGGGGTATTGTTTTGACAAATTAATCCTTTTCTAAGAAATTAACGTACTAAACTGGTTTAATTTATTTATAATAAGCACTAATTTGTTTGTTTTACTGTTAATGTTTATTATTTTTCATTAAATTATTATAAAATTAAATATGAATAATAAAACAAAAAGTGAGGTTAGGACATTGCAATTTGACGTTTCTGTGGATTTCACAGTTGTGTTTTCTTTTTCTACGATTTAAATTATCTTTAAGTTTAATTTGCTTTAAGTTTTCAGTGAAATTAAATGTTAAACACAGCGTAAACATTCCAAACTACCTATTTTTTTATTAAAAATGCAAACAAATTAAAATTAGATACCTATTTATTAAACAATTAATTGAAATTAGATACCTATTTATTAAACAATTAATTGAATTCAATGTACCTAATAGCAAGAGGGTAAGTAAACCATTTTCTTACAAAAATCCATTTCAACTTAAATCATGTAGCTAGGTATTGTCAAACTACTGCTTCTAAAAGGATAATAATTATTGTACATTTAATGTAATCTTTAGCTAATAAATAAATGAGATTCTAAAAAAGTGAGGTTGGGCCGCTTTCATGTTGAATTAAATAGACCTATATAAAGTGCTTTGAAGATAAAATGTTGTATACAATTCGGCCAAGAAGTGTCTTTTTGTGCTTCGCTCAATTGTAGGCCTCCGCTACGCGTCGGCCTTCAAACTTTGAGCTTAGCACAAAAAGCCTTACTTCTTAACCTAATGACATAAATAACTATTATTGAAATTTTACAAATTTATAACTTATATTCACTTATATATTCTTACCTAAGCCAAGCTTATTCAATCGGCTCTTTCGACATATTACAGAACTTTTATATCTTAAAAAATAAAAAATCTAATACTTTAAACTAGTTACAATTAATTTTTTAACTTGGGTTTTACAGAATAAACAATATTTATTTATTCGCGTAACAGTGGTAAATAAATTTTTGATGGTAAACCACATATTTATAAAAATATAAATTTTAAATTTTCACTTTCATTTTTTATAGTTTTATATCAGGTAGGTACCTAAACGACCATTTTTCATTAAAGAGTAGATGGAAATTATGAATAAATTATGTTTTTCTACTCCCACCTTTAAAACGCCCATTATCGTACATGTTTCCATGACACTAAGTGATCTTTTTATTATGTGAAATAATACTAAATGTGAAAATTATTCTATTATCTTAATACAAAAATTCAAAAGTATTAATTAGTTACTCAAAGCCAATATTTAAAAAGTTTGTACAGACCTTTTAATTTCGCCAGCAGCTATATAAGATTGTGGCCGGCAGTAAACTAGATTTGCCCATAAAACAATATCTTTACTTTCACAGTGAAAAACAGCTTCTATATCGGATTTAAACGGACGTAGGTCTATTTTCAAGGAATACATTTCGATTAACACAGAAAAATTTGCCACCGGTAATACAGATTCCCATTCTAACGGTAATATGGTAATTTTTCTATAGATGTCGCTCTGTACACATATTTAATTTAAATCATTTTTCGATAATAATAAGTAATTGTTGTTAAAAAAACGTATAGTATGCAACGCGTTTATAATCTTTTCTATTTATAGACTTATTTAATTAAACACTCGCTCGTGGCTAATTTAAATTCGTAACTAAAATGGCGTTTATTAAACTTGATACATAATAAAATAAAATAGTCCTTAAAATGTCTATTGACATACTTTAATTAAAATTTTTTATTTTAAATTTATGTATTTTCCTTATTTAGTTTTAGGCAAAAAAAAATAGCAAATATTTTATTTGTCTATTTTGTTTTTAAATAATAGTAGGTATATTCTGTAACAAGTTTGTAACGGCATATTCCGCTCGAGTGAAAAGTTTGTCACACGAGCCGTAGGCGAGTTTGACGGTTTCACGAGAGCGGAATATGCAATTACAAACGTGTTTCAGACTATACTTTTTCTACGTTTCCAAAAAATACCATAGAAAAATAATTTAATCTCGAGAAAGTGAGGTTGGATCGGTCTAAAATATGTTAGATAATAAACACAGAGATGGCGCTACCAGTGTTTATTCCGTCATCCGATGATAGAATATATTTCATTCTGTAACACTTTAAGGAATATATGTAATTCAACATTAAAAAGTGATGTTGGAACGGTCATATTTTGTAATGGGAGGAAAAAAATTATTTATTTATTTTGAAATTTTAAATGTCAGTGCGTTAATTATAAACAAAAAACATTAATTTCAAATAATTACTTTAAATTACCCTCTATTTCCTCTTATTTACGACCAGGTCCTTTTTTATAAAACATGTAGGTACTTTTTTACCTTACCTACATGTATTATTTTAATTTTACTAAATTGTTGAAATACTTTATTTATGTATGTTACGGTCACTCAAATTACTTCAAGCTTTTATGAAAAAAATATTTAATTATTCAATGTATTTGTTAATAATAACTAGGGACCGGATTATATGCACCATGCAACTGACAATGCATGCAAATATGCGTGAAAAATGCAGGTTGAGTATGAAGTATGCATATAATTCGGTTCTTTATAATAAAATAATAATAACAAAAACTGCTGAAGGTATTTAACCTCAAAAATGTATTTAAATACAAAGAATGCTGTCAATGCCGCTCCTTTATTTTATAATTAAAATTACCATTTTTAATACCATAATATTAGTTACCTATATTTTAATACAAGTTAAATACTAAATGTCTTAAAGAAATTGCAAGGGCAGCGCCGGATTATAAAAATTTGCGCCCCGGGTCTAATAAAAATTTTCCGCCCCTACCTATAAAATAAATTCAAAGAAATGTCACTTCTTAACAAAAGGATTTTATTTAACCATAAACATTAGGGTTGTAGTATTTTTTCGAAATTTTTTTGATTTTGGAGATAAAATAAAAAAAATAAGTCTAAAGTATTTGAGTTTCAACAGATAAAAAAATTTTAGACGTCGCTCAAAACTTTTTTAAACCAACCTTTTTTCTCAAAATCTTTGGCTTCTCACTATTTTTTTTGTAGGTCGTATACTCACATTAACCTTTTATTTAAGACATTTTTCCGTGAAATGCGTATTTCTCGAGATATTGAGCTGTCTCAAGTTAAAAGAAACACCCTGTATATATGACTGGTACTGTATATAACTATAGTTTTAAACTAATTTAAATTAATGTATATTCGTATACGAACACTATAGTGTAATAAAATATTCTTATATTAAAAAACCTTTACGCCCATACGCATCGCATCGGTGGAAATAATCTACTAACTAAAGTTCTTGTCGCCCAACAACTTGTCGGGCGCCCTACGTAATACGTGACATGACATATTTCGTATACTATGCATAGATAATAATACTATGGCAACAATCACGGTTATAATTTAAATAATTTTTATATTAAAACTGATTAATACACGAAAAATAAAAAAAGGGGAAAACCCTTTAGGTTGTAGTAAAAAACAAAAATTACTAGTCAAAAATTTTGCGCCCCCTGTAAGCTTGCTTCCCGGGTCTATAGACCCCCAAAGACCCCCCCCTAAATCCGGCTCTGTGCAAGGGTTAAAAGTTTTAAACAATCTTTTATTTTATGACTAAAATTATATATGTTATATTATAATTTATAATTATACAAGGATGACTTATCTTAATGAATAGGTACCTAGAATATTTAGTGGATTATAATAATTATAGCATGATAAAAACAAGTGCAATAAATCTTTAAATTAAGGAAAAAAAGTACCATTGTGTAAGATCTGAAGATCTTGGAGGCCACCTAATGATACCACACTGGCACACCTTTTTTTAAAAAGCATATATGTACTATTTTTTAATCAACCAAAATAAATTATAATAAAAAATGTTTACAACAATAAATTTATAACTTATATTATTTTAGGACCATACTATCAAACATTATCTAGAGTTAGGAGCGGATCCCAGCAAACTTGTTCTGGGAATCCCCACTTACGGAAGGGCATACACATTATTCAACCCTGACGCCAATGAAATTGGATCTCCCTCGGACGGTCCTGGAGAAATGGGCGAAGCTACCAGGGAAGCTGGATATCTTGCATACTATGAGGTAAACATCGAACATATTTTTAACATTTTAACCATTTAATCACGTTTTTTTAGATCTGTGAATCCATAAAATCAGACGAGTGGGAAGTGGTTCAGCCAGATGAAGAAGCCATGGGCCCTTATGCCTTTAAGGGTAACCAATGGGTCGGTTACGATGATGAAGGTATCAGTCGTAAAAAAGCACAATATGTAGCTAAAAATAATCTTGGGGGAATCATGTTTTGGTCCATCGACAACGACGATTTTAGAGGAAGCTGTCATGGTAGACCATATCCTCTTATCGAGGCTGCCAAAGAGGCATTGATAGAAGCTTACGGGTAAGAAACAAAGATTTTTAATTTATTATAAATACATTAAAAAAAATTATTATGGAAATGTCAGCCTTTTCGATGATTATAATAATTATGTTACTAATTCCAAAATTTAGTATAGAAATCCATACTAATTTAAATATTGCATCATAAGGATTCTGATTTTAATATATATTGAATTTTTATTTAATTATTAATGTTATGCAAAAACTAAATAGAATTTTTTAATAACATGTGTAACATACATAATTTAACCTAATTATAATAATTCAAAATATTGTATTTATTTAGAATTACTGAGGATAATCTAATTGCACCAACTTTAAAACCAACGAAGAAAACTAGAACAAGGACGAAAGTTTCCAGTAAAGATGAAAGTGACAACCAAGTATCGACAAACAGTAGTCGTAGAAGAAATAGGTAGACAGATATTTTATACTTTTTCATTTTATAAAATTGTCTTGTAATTAAATTATAAAACTAATTCGATTATAAATTTAGGAATAAAACCACTACAACCGAACCTCCAAGAAAAACTTCATCTAGACAAAATACTAGAAGAAATAGGAATAAAAACAAGAAAAACCAGGAAGGAACTTCGACATATAGTAGCTTAAAGGTAGTGACACCTAGTTACACCACGCCTGCCCCACCTGCAACACCAGATATGGGCGGAGGTCAGTATCTTATGAATATTTACCATATAAGCAAAAAATCTTCACACCCTATCTTAGAACCTAGTAATGGCAAATATGTATAAATAACATATTGTTCACGAAGTTATATAAGATGCAAATATAATATAATTCCTTTTTTATAGCCTTCAAATGTGAAGATGAAGGTTTTTTCCCACATCCAAAGGATTGCAAAAAGTATTTCTGGTGTTTAAGCGGTGCCGGTGACTCAGGAATCGTTGCTCATCAATTTACATGTCCAGCTGGTATAAAAATATAACATAATTTTTGTGTAGGTTTCTAAATTTTAATATTTTATAGGTTTATACTTCAACAAAGCTGCAGATTCTTGTGATTATACACAAAATGTTTTGTGCAACAAAAAAATAGCCAAAACCACATCGACCACAGCTTCTTTAGAATCATCCAGCTCTACTACGACTGTAAAATCGAGTCTATTTTCTACGACAAGAGTTCCACCCAAAATCACTGCTGCCACCAGCAGAACCACATACTCGCAAAGAACCACTGAACCAACTATCATAGACGATGATGAGGAATACGAAGAATATGAAGATGAAGAAAGATCGGAGGAAGATCCTAAAGTAATTAAGGAACTTATTGATTTAATTAGAAAAGCAGGTGGTATTGAAGAATTAGAAAAACGTCTTCATGGAGATTTTACCAGCACTGGTTTGGATTCAACCACACCATCAACAATAAGTAAAAGTTTGGTTGCTAGAGTTTTGGGTCAAGCTGGAAGAAATACTCTTACTAACGCAAAAACGTGAGTATTTTATATGTTTTTATAAAACCACATACAAAAAGATATTTCATAGGTTTCCATTTACAAACAAAAACAGTCGTGGATCTCAAACATTTGGAATCTCTAAAGAAGATAGTCAAACTGCCAAAAGTAAATCTGAAAGACCACAATACACAAGTATTTCAAGATCAAGGTAATATTTATTAAATTTATTTGTGAAAACATACATTTATATGTTTTTTGTAGACCTACAACAAACAAAAAAGATGAAGAAGACGATGAAACCGAAGTCAAGGATGAAGAAGTGCAAGAAAAAAAAGAAAAAACATCTTTGTTTAGAAATATTAAGAAGAATAGCATTCCTGAATATACCAGTATAAGACGTCCTAAAGTCAGTTCAACAACCGAAATTAATGATAACGAAAGGTAATATAAAATTTTTAAATGTAACCAAATGTTTTACAATAATATTTTTAGAAGTAAACTTGTAGAGATCGATACCGAGGATAGTGAAGATGTTGATGAAGAAGAAGAGAGTAAAAGTAAACCATCTACACCTAAATATGTTAACATAAGAAGGCAACGTCCATTGACAACCGAGGGTTCGGTAACAACATCAAAGTAAGTTTCAACATCAAAAACATTAAAATTACTACTACTTATCAAAACATATTTTAGATACAAGCAAATACAAAGAAGTACAACCAGTCAACCAGCTGTACTTGAAGAAAATACATCAACAAAGTAAGTAACTTAAAATAATAATTAGATCAAAGTCTAATCAGGTTATAATTTAGGTATAAATTAATTAATGTAAATACAACAACCGATTCTAAAGACGAAGAAATAGAAGTAACCACGTCAAAGTAAGTAAAGTCAAAGTTTTATTTCCTGAAATTTTCTCTGCAGTTCTCTGCCATTCTCTGCCAAAAAGTAGTGACAGAGAATGTCAGAGAAACAGCAGAGACAACTCTCAGTTTCTCTGCCGAAAAGTAGTGGCAGAGAAACGGCAGAGTTAATCTAAACTAAAGGCGAAGAACGGCAAAAAAAGCAGAGAATGGCGCAAGTGAATAAATAAATATAATTTTTGCAATTTTAGATACAAAAGTTTAAGAAGAGGCACTACACCCCCAAGTTCAACAATTTTAGATGAAAATGAAGTTTCGGGAGTGAGTTACAAAACTCTCCAACGCGGCTCCACTGAATCTTATGCAACAGAAGATAATTCATCTTTAAAGTAAGATTTTATTCACGCATACATAAAAAATCTAATTTTTGCAATTTTAGATATAAAAGTATAAAAAGGGGCTCAACCACACCAAGCACAACAATATCAGATGAGAATGAAGTATCTGCTGTTAGTTACAAAACTCTTCAACGTGGCACTACTGAATCTTCTGTGACAGAAGAGAATTCATCTTTAAAGTATGTTAAGAAATATTTAATTTAAACGATTTACTAACAATCTACTTCTAGTTATAAAACGATTCAACGTGGTAACAATAATATTGAAGAGTCGTCAGATAACCAACCCTCTCCTAACCCTTTAAAAGAAATAATTAAAGAATTTGATATTCCAGGCGTTTTAGGGTAGGTGAGATAATTAAGTATGCTATACTTTTACTAATTAATAATATTCCAGATTAGAAACATCTTCACCTGCCACAACAGATGCAAAAATATCATCACTTCAATCTAATTCCGAAATAGAATCAATAACTCTGCCACAAGTAAGCTCCGAAATACCAATTTCTGATGCCTTATTATCCACAAAATTACTTCCCGTCACTACATATACAGACGAAACATCCACAGAAACAACAAAAGACATTACTGGCTCTCCAGTACTAAACAGAAGAACACCTACTCTTTTAGAACCGCGCCCTTTCTCTGTGAGAGGTTCGACAACAAAATCAAAAACTGAGTCTTCAACACAGTCAGCAAAGGTGAGTGAATCAAATTTCAAACTACGATTAAGGGACAAGGCACCGGAATTGCACAACGTTTTATCTACCGACAGTTCGGTAGACGCTGCAAAGCTTAAGACTAGAGGTAATTCTAGATTTAATGTAGGAAAACAAAATGTAAAACTCGATAATGCAGAAGAAAGCGAACAATCCCCAAGATTGCCTTCATTAAGATCGCGAAAACGTTTACACACTACCGAAAGAATTAGTACAAATGATGGAAGCACTTTGGAACCAAGAAATTATAGACCAGCTGAACTTGCCGATTTATCATCGTTAACTGCAATTGATGTATCGGTAATAAAAGGTTTAGATGGGTCTAATAGGCACATAAGAGGTAGAGGTAGACCCAGATTTACACCATCAGCTTCAACTACCGCAGCAGCAATAAAAGAAGTTGATGACAATCAAGAAGAAAACTTAAATAAAAGCTCTAGAACGCTACTACGAAAATACACGCAAAACCCTACACTCGGAAAAGGTAGAAGAGTTCTTACTAAAACTACTCCCAGTGAAGATCAAGTTAACTCTGATAGTACTACAAGAAAAGTTCGTGTTTTCTCCAGACCAGCATCTGAAGCAACAACTGAATTTACCCAGACAAGTATTAAAAATATTAAAGTTGTAAGGAGATTTAGACCGACAACGCCTAATTCACTATCTGACAATGAAGACAAAGATGACAATAAGGATTCTATAAAAAGAAGACTTTCTAGATTTTCTACAACGGAAAACACTTTAAGTTCCACTAGATCAATACGTTTTCGTCCAAGTTCAACAGAAAGTTCTAAAGAAGTTGATGTAGCGAAAGGTTCTATAAATCTTCTTTTATCCGGAATCTACTCTAAGGTAGCTGAAGAAAAAGAGGAATCAGATGAAATAAGTGCTGAAGAAGGTGAAAATATTAGACTGTCCGAATCAAATATTAGAGAAAACAGTGATATCAACAGTTTATCAAAAGATAAAAGTTATGATAAAGTAAGCAACTCAAAGGTATTAGGAAAATCTGATGTATCAGATAAAAAAAGTAAATCTGAAACAGATACAAAATTAAATGAAGAAACAACCAAATTATCCACTCAAACCCCAGAAATCACGACCAAACGTAAAGTATCTGAACCTCCAATTATTGTAAGAACAAGAAAAATTATCAGGAAATTAAAACCAACTCAACCTTCAATCACAACATCGGTTTCTATTACAACACCGTCTTCCATTACAACATCATCTACAGAAAAAGTATCTTTTGATATTTCAGATACTGGTAGGAGAAGAAAAGTAATTCGTAGGTTTAGACCCACGTCAACCACTGAAAACACTTTAGAATTAACTACAACCAATACTAACGCAAATAATAAATCTAGAAGAGTTATTATTAAAGGAAAACCTAAGACAGAGAATAAAGACAACATATTCAGAAATAGAAATAGATTCGCATTGAATACAACAAAAACAATCATAAAAGAAGATAACGATAAAGTGACTGTTAATGTATCAAGTCGAGGCCGTTTTAGACCCACTTTGGACTTATCAAGCGTAGTAACTGAAGCTAACGTTGAAACATTAGCTTCTAAATATAAAACTATAACGAGAACTACAATAACTACTACAAATACCCCGGAAAATCAAGAAGAAGAATACGATGATGAGGAAGAATACGATGATGAAGGAGATGAAGAAGGTGAAGAGGATGAAGTTGAAGATAAAAATACTAGCACTGAAAATGATACTTTAGTTGTAAATGCCCGCGCTGAAAAAATAGCTGAAAACGCAAATGATACAAATGTTGAACCCAGTACAAGACCTCCAGTTAAAAGTAATTTACTTCGCACTGGCGCAGAAAGACCTTCCTTTAAACCATTGAAATTAAATCTAAGTATTAAATCCGATTCCGACAAAACTAATAAAAATGCTAACATAAACTCATTAACATCAAGGAGAAACAGATTTAGACCTGGATTATCTAGGTCTAAAACAAACGAAGAACAAGGAATTGCCCTTAAAACTGGAGTTTTTCTACCTCAACGTCAAAGAGGTCAATCCAGGACTACTACAGCTAGCATAAATCAAACTGAATCTATAGCTTCTAAAGATAATGTTGATACTACACCTATAAATCTTGAAGCATCTACTACAGAAGAAGTAATAAATATATTGGATATAACCACAATTCAAACTCAAAATGATGATGTTACAACAGAAAACGAAATAGTAACAATAGAAAATATTAGTTATACGGACAAAGAAATTGAAGAAAAAGCCATAAATACTGAAAGCATAACAACTGTTGAGGCCACAACGATTTTAAGTGAAATTTCTGAAGTGATTACCACTGAAGCAGCTTCAACCTTAGGTCCTGTTAATATTACAGATGAAGCCAAAATAGAAACCACAACTAAAAATACAGTTGAAAATACGACTCTAGATGTAAATGAACCAACAACAGATCAAGATTTTACCATCCCAGACTCAACTGAAGTTCCTCTAACAACTGAAGACACAACCACAGATGGTGCCACAACAATTGTTGAAACCACAACACCTTATTTACACAAGAGTACTTTAAGATCTCTTGAATCCCGCCCTAGATTCTCAATACCCAAAAAGCCTAAAGCAACAGTTACTATTGAGACTACTTCCAAAGCTCCTACTAGTAGATTTAGAATAAAATCTAGACCAAAAGAATTTAAACCTGAAATTAAACGCCCTGTTAGAATAAGGCCAAGTTCTACAGCCACACCTATAAATAAGTTTATCTATAAATATAGCACTACTCCACGAAGTAGGTTTAGCATTAAAAAGAAGCAGGAAGACAAAGTAACCGAAGAAGAGGAGGAGGAGGATGTGGGATTCGAAGACAGTGAAGAAGACAGTGAAGAGGAGAAAGAGGAAGAAGAATTTAAAGAGATCAGCTCACCTAAACCATATATTGCAAGAAAATCGACCACACCTAAAGTTATAAATAGTCCGTTTGCTGGGTCCAAAAAGGGATCCAAAGTAAAAAACGTACCAAGATTTACAAGTAAATCACCTTCAAGATCACCTAACATACCTGAACCACAAGATACATTAACAGACATTGATAATGAAGCCGTTAAAAACAGAAATAAAATTTTGTTCGCTAAAAATAAAATGAATACTCCATTTGCTGGCATAGCAACATCGCCCTCTTCATCTACAGTTGAACTATTAACAATTGCTCAAACTACTGAATCTTCGGGGGTGGCCGAAACCACTGAGTCGCTAACTACGTTGCACCATGTGTTTGCTCAACCAGAAGACGATAATGAGAACACAACTGAAATGCCTGGTTCGATTGGTTCGTCGACACCACGCAAAGTAGAAAGACTTGTAGAAGTTAACAGAATTGTTGAAGTTAAGGAGAAGGAAGCTCACTTAAAAAAGAATCACACCCTAGAGGAGCAATCTAATGTGGTTAAAATTGGAGCTATTAATAGAGTGACAAGTATTAAAATTGTCGATGAAAATAACGTAACAACTACAATCTTAGAAGACTCTTTACATAACGAAATAAATTCCAACCTTCCGATTACAACCGAACCCAGTGTTAACGTTAGTTTTAACGGAGCTGAATTAGCTGTTGTAAAGGAAGTTTCAGTAAACGATACGCAATATACCACATTTACCGACGAAAAGTTTCCATCGAATCACAGACAAGACAGGAAATTTGAAATTTATGGAGAAAGTAAAGTTCACGACTATAAAAATCAAAACGTATTACCAAATGAAATAATCAAACCTAATTTAGGAAAGGCGGAAATAATTGATGGAAATTCTCAGGTGAATATAATTACACCAAGGCCGGCTCTAAGCACGGAAGCTTCAACAATATCTTTGGAACGATTGTTTATGACAGATACCCCAAGAAGTTTACCAATAAACGGCAATCTTATTCAATTCAGTAATAATGATGAGTTACTGGAGACTGAGAATTCCAGATTTGTAAATGTGAGAGTTTTGGATCAAAGCGGAAACAGATCAACAAAAGACGTCAGAGATAATACAGAATTTGTTCCGGTCAGAATATTAAGACCAGAAGTTGAAGAAATAACAATGAAGGCTGAGGTAGTAGAGGTAGCTCCAAGAAATAAAGAAGACACAATTAGAATAGTGCCAATTAAAGTAGAAATGTCCAGAAAATTAATGTTAGACCCTAAAATATTAAAAACGGTTTCGTTCGCTACGAAATTCGAGTCAGGAGTGCCAAAAGAAAACTCTAAACTGATTACATCATCAACTCAAAGCCCATAGTCATTTAAATTTAGGTAATAGGTATAATTTATGTTATAGTATTATTATGTTATGTATGTATATAGGTTGTTATCATTATTTTTTTATTATTTAAAAGAGTGAGTGTGAAAATTTGTAAATAATTTGCACTATTGTAATATATTAGCACTATCTACTTATCTTCTTTTTTCTGTGTGTGCCATAAGGATGGTTTTTTCAATATACTGTTTTGTTAAAAATGGCCAGTGTGTTTTCTTTCTTTGTAAGTTACTTAATTTAAAAATATATTATATAGAATAATATAGCATTTTCTTTTTCCTATTTAACAAAGCTAAAATTAAAGGTGTTGGTATACAGTACTGTGTCATTTTTATAATTCTTTTTTAAAATGGGCTTAAAATATTTAGGACAAACCAAAAAGTAAGTTATTTTAGTTTTTAAAAGTTATTATATAATATTATTCATTTAAGTAAGTATTAAAACCAGAGTAATTTTATATTATATATTCTTGCCCGTTAATTTTTAATTAATTTATTCATTGCTAATAAAATTTTATTTCTACAAAAAAGAAAATTTTTAATTTTATAAAATATAATTGTATTAAAAAAATATATTAAAGAAATTAATTTATTTTGGTGTACTACTATTTTAATGAGATTAAAATATAATAAATAATGATAGTCTGCCAATTGAGTTCTCTTACTTAATGGATTAAGATGAATAATTATTATTGTATCAAATTCTAGTAATCGTGAATAATTTGACCATGGACTAGAAACCATTTCTTTTCATAATTTACAATTTTTAATCAGCCTTGTTATTAGCATTCTGCATGATTTAAAATAAATAATGAATTGTTTTCTGTGAGTCTAATTAAAGATTGCATTGTCTATATAACACTATTTTAAGAATCCTTATTTTTGCCACATGTAGGAATTTAATCTTTTTATTAGAAAATTAAATAATAAATTAATTTAAACGTTCTTAAATAAAAGCACACCTGTATGGTTACTCACGTTTCACCATTAAAAAAGACAGTTACAATAGTTATTATCTGCGGTTAAAACACTAAATTGTGGTAGTAGATATTACAAGACTTTTTAGCGTTATTTATTATTGTTTGTTACCCTTTTTAAAAAATAAACAATTAATTATCGTTTCTAATTACTTTCTACTGCAACATTTTTTTCTTGTTTATAGAAACGTGTATTTGCTTGCTCCTATTCTCCTTTCACCTATTTTAGCATAAAAATTTAAGTATAATACGAAGGTTATCTAACTAAATTAGAAAAGCTTTTCTGGTTCATTAAAAATCAAAGTATACGTAAAACTAATTTAAATAATGCGATTTCTTTCACCGAAGTCTATAGTCTATTTCTTACCCAATCAATACCATTATAAATTATAATTATAATTAGAAAAATATAATATTCAACACCCATTTAATATCTTAACTTTAACCGGTACACCGAAGTGGGCGAAATTTTACGAAAGAGCACAGAATTAAGTTAGCTTTTAGTTAAAATTAGAAAAAAGTGAGGTTAAAGCTACCTGACAGCTGTCAGATTTCTTAGTAGTTATAAAATATGGTGTGCGACTATTGCTTAAAAGAGGAGATTCCACTCGCGTTTTACCGAAATCGCTACGCTCGTACAGCAATCTAATCTAATTAAGGAATATTCTCTTTCTTCCACTAGTCGCACAATATACTATTTACAGCCTAGTCAATATTCACTTTAGTAGTGAGTGTTAACTATAATAAGTTTAAATTATAGACCACTTGAAAATACGTTTTTCTTATTCTCAATGATACTTTAGTTCCATTAAAAATACGAAAAACCAGCGTGTTCAATGCGTGAGAAAAGTGAGTTTTCTATCTCGTGAAAATTTGACTCACTTCCTACGCTTGTAAATCAATATAAATTCACTTAATAGAAAACTATCACTTTTCTTCACTTCACAATCAACTATTATTTAACTACTTTTCTTTCAGATTCCTATTTTCTTAATATGGATATCTATTTTGTTCCATAATTATTATTATTATAATTATTAATTTTAAAATATTATACAGTGTTTTAGAAAATAAGTACCGAATATAAGAGGTTAAAAAAATTTCGTTTTAATTTTTTATTTTGGCTTCGTTAAATTATTAGGTATAAATTTGCTTATTGAGTGTCATAATTAATTTGATACTAAAACATTTCTATTTTATTACTTACATTAAATTTCTTAATGTAAAAAGTTGAAAATTGAAAAAAAAATTTAAAACTGTCTGGATACGAAGAAATTAATATATTTTTGCTTCTTAAAATGTTAACATGTTGTATATTACAAATAAAACCAAAAATAATAGTTAATCAAACCCCAGTATATTTTTTTACTTACAAAAATCTTAACAAGACCTAGGTACAAAATATCCACATTGCTAACAAGCCACTTATTTGTTATATACAGAGTGCCCCGAAAATAGTGTGCAATACTCTACACGTAGTTTCTAAAGACAAAAATAGGAAGGTAAAATAATGAATATGCTGAATTTAAAAATAACACCAAAATTTAAACATTTTATCTATGAGTGTATTAAACAGGGGCGGCCTAGCCCCAAATTTTTGTGTGCAGTTTTTTTTTGCAAATTGGCTGCAGAATATGAAAATAAAGTTTTCTACGTAAAAAAGGTATTTTTGTTTAACATTGATATAAATTTTACTAAAAATAAAGTAACAAATTAAAAAAAAAATAGTCTTTTTTCTTTTTTAATTTAATATATTTAACAAGAAATATTAATGAAAAAATACATATGTATTTATATTTCCTGAAAATACATTATTTTATCTTTATCCGTTTCAGAAATAAAAATAATAAACCATCTTCAGGGGCGCCCCTTTAGGGGCTATGTAGGTTCATTAGGGGTCATATGCCGACCTTTGTTTGGCCCTAAAAACCGCTTGTAGATTATTGCACAATATTTTTCGAAACACCCTGTATATGTGGAACATAATTATCGCCCTAAAGACCGAAATACTGTTACCGAGTTAAAGTTAAATGGTCTGAAAGCAGGTAGCAATTAATATGTTGACCACTAACTTTATTAAAGTTAAAACTAAAATTTTTGTTAAATGGATTTAAATTGATTTAGATGGTAATTATAATTATGGAAACGTAAAATGTGGATAATTATCAAGATGGGGTAGATTATGGATAAAGATAAATATGGATATTGAAGATTTTGGGATAAAAATAAATACCATCTATAAAATTTTTTTGTCGGAAACATTAAAACCCAGAAAAAGGATTTGGTCTTTAAGGCGTTTTTACATTCCATATCACATTTTAACTCTGTAACAATAAAACTATTTTTTATGTCATAAAGAATGTAATTTGTTACATACCAAAATAAAACAATTGAATTTTTTTACAAAATTTAATATTAAATAACCTAATTTAAATAGCTAAACCAAAAACAATTAAAAAATAAATTCTAAATTATTTTTGGAACATATCCCGGCGCATTCGCCATTTTTAAAACAATAATTTTATTTTTTTATAGTGTCTTAACATCTTAGATGATTTTTATAGCTACTATTTAAATTTAATCTAACATAATATATATTTGAATGTTAGGAGTATGTTTAATTTATTTTTAAACATTTTGTCGACCAATTTGTGAATTGTTTAAAAAAATTTAATTCATTCATTTACATAATACACCTATAAAGTAATGTAGATCTGCCTTTCGTTTATTTAAAACCTTACATTACCCAAATTTAACACATTATTCCAAGATATTGGAGCGTAACAACCAGTTTTTTAAGACATAAATATGCATAAAACAAGATTTAAAGCAATTCTTATTTTAATATCAAGTACGCAGTTGCACATTCAAAATTTAGTAGAACTTACTTTGTATTGAATGTCATTCTCATTGTGAAATTAATATCGACAAGACGGTAGCGCGTATAGCGCTAAGAAACTTGATTCTTATCCGAAAAATGTATTAGGTTACATACTGCGCGTTGTCGGGAATTTAAACCAACCACAATAGTAATGGCTTTATTATTAAATTCTGAAAATTTAAATCGATAGAAAATTATGTAATATTCAATATTAATTTATCAGACCAAATAATTTAAATAATACATCTATTATTACACACAAAAAATTATATTAATACAATTTTATAAATATTATAAATTATTTGCGTAATACCGATATTTATTAAAATGAATGTATTGGTGTTAAAACTTTGTATTGCTGATAATTTCACTTAAAAGTTTATTTACGCATAAATTCCTTATAAATTCTTCGGTTTAAATAACTGCTTACCAGGAAGTTTTTATTTTTAATATTGGTAATTAAATTTAAATTATTCTTGGATTAAAATGATAAATAATATTTTGCTGTTTACCAAATTAATAGCTACTTAACCAAATAAAAATTCAATCATTATTTTGTTTTTAGAAAACTAGAACAGGTAATTAATTAGGTTTATTTTAATTTTATTTTTAACATATAATTAAAAACCGATATAAAAGAAAACTTCAACTTTTATTTTAATTGCTTGTTAAATTTTAAAATTTGACAGTTTTAACAATATTTTTACGATTTGTAATGCAAAACAAAACATAATAATATTATTATTATAATTTTTTAATAGAATTTTTTAAAAGATAAAAATTTTAATAGTAATAGTATATTATGTATCAAGTTTTATAAACGCCATTTTAGTTTCGAGTTTAATTAAGCACGAGCGAAGCTTGCGAGCGAGTGTTTAATAAAAACGAGTGTCTAGAGAAGTTTATAAACGAGTTGCTTACTATACTTTATCTACGACGAACACAAAACAGAATTTAAAGCCAATTTTTTTTGTTAAAATTTTGACATCTGTCAACTGTCACCCGAATTTAACCTCACTTTTTCCCAATTTATAATAAAGCTAACTTCAGCCCGTGACGTAAAATGTCGAAAAGCCACTGTTGTTAAGTTCAGCCCGTCAATAAAACGCCATAAAGTGACAGCTCGTCAATGTAGGAGTAGATAAAAACTTATAATTTTAGCGTTTTTGATAAAACTTTTTTTAAATAAATTTTTTTTACACCAACATATTTTAACATAAAGTAGTTTTATATAAAATCTTATAATTAAAAATAAAGTATTGAGAAAAAACCCTTAAAGTTTTAAATTTTATAGTATTATTATTTTGATTTTAAAGTTTTTCCATTACAACATGGAAAAATTAATAAATTTCCTATTGATTTGCGACATTTTAAGCTACTACAATAACATAAATACGATTTGTACATGATTAGATGCTCTTTAAAAGTACTACAATTCATATATTTCGACCTCTATACGTCACAATAAAAAATAGTTATTTGTTTTACAAGTGTTGAAAAACGACTTTTTCATGCAAGTGTTTAAGTTGATCACGAGGCCTTCAGGCCGAGTGTGCATTAACACGAGCTTGAAGAAAGCTTTTCTCACAAGTGAAACACAATGTTTTTTCTACGACCCTTTTATTTTTTATTATATTCAAATGCAAAACAAAATAACCCAAAAACGTGTTTGACAGCTGTTAAAATTCTTTCATCTTATTCTTTTAATTTTTAAGGTATGTTACTTAAAATCAATAAACTTACCTTATCAATCCAAATAAAGACACTAAAAATTATAATTTATTATACAAACACAATTAGATTGTGTTCTAAATGATATTTAGATATACATATACAAATACAATACAAATTTAATCATTAATGAATGAAACGAATGTCAAACGATGCTGTCAATTTCTTTTCACACAGACCTGTCACTTTTTACACGGAAATGTTACTTTACATTCGTGTTTTGCCTTGCCAATGAAAAGATTCATTTTCTAAGCAACGATGCCAATACGAAATGTGACTTTTACATAGTGGTCGTAGAAAAAAGTATTTTTGCATTTTACAGCAATAAGTTTAAAGCAACAGGTAACAAGTAGGAAATTTAAGTTCATACAAAAAAGGTCCTATACATCAATGCAATAAAATGCATATAGAGCATTTAATATTTCAGTAAAATGACACTTTTTTGAAAATTTACAGAATGTTAAAGTTTTACTTCATCATACTACAGTTCGAAATATATTAGTTCTATTAAAATTGTTAATTAAGTAAAAATCTCAACTATCTAACTTGTAGTAGCGTAAAATACCGCCAAGTTATTTTCATTTTTTTTTAATTCTTAATTTCCAGTTATTTTAATGAAAAACTAATCAAAATAAAAGTACTTACTTAGGAGTAACTTAAGGGCTAAAACTTTATATAGACTATATTATAAGTATAAAAGTAAATCTAAAAATATTATATTTGCCATCATGCAAAATTTTTAATTTATAACAATAAAATCGAATAAAAAATTGCAAAATTTATATTTCCCTAAATAAAGAACATAATATACCTATTATATGTCATTTATTTGGGGAAATACGAGTAGATATGTACGTATTCATAGAATACTAAAATAAACGAATATAAAATAATTAAATATAGATTTTAATGCGAGAGGTAATAAAACCCAACACAGAAATATAATTTATTTATAACAACAATTTAAATGGTTAAAAAACATAAATAATCACACAAGTAACACAATTGTCTTGACAACACTTTATAACTTGGGTAATAAAAAATAGAACCAAATCAGAAAACTAAAACTATTAATTTTTATTTGTTTCAGAACGGATCAACGTCGTCAGCGCGCCCGTCGTTCAGGATTGGAGCGCGTAGAAAAACGCGGCCTACCACGTTGTCAACACGGACCACCACCGCACAGCCGAGTGTTCGAAGAACGACTAAACCTGCACGCAGAAAACACCTCAAGCAGAGCACTAAGGCATTAGAAAGTCAAGGTGAGTCTTGAACGCGAGATAAATTAAAAATAATAAGGATGATGATACTGGTCGAAACCCACGATCGACCCACTATTCAATTAAAAAGGCTTGGCAGAGTAGATGAATATATGTAAAATCATTTATTTGGAGAGTATTACTTTTAGACACTACTAAATAAGTTTTGAAACTTATAAATAGTTTTTTTAATTAAGGACCTTTAAGTCTTCTACAAAATAATTTTTCTTTGCTACCGAAGTTATATAACTTTAATTTAAAGAATATAGCATTAACATTTTATAAATGTTTTTTAATCTTAATTTGATTTCAATTATTAAGTTAAAATTAGATTTGTAGATAGGTCAGTTTGCAACAAAAATTAGCTACCTTTGTATGTAATTTAATAAAGTTTTAAACAAATGACATTTTAATGATCATCTTTATAAAATCAAAACTAAGAAGTTTTTTGGTAGAAATATTACAACTAACATTCGCCCACATTTGCATTGCTGTGCAAATGAATACAAACTCTACGAATGTATAAAGTCCAAATATATACATTTTTAAATTTATAATTATAGTTATTTGTTTTTAATAATTAATAAGCGGGGCACCCGGGGGTATTACCTAATTCGTGCATGCTGCAGAAAAATAATGTTGCTATATAGCGGCTATAGCCGTTCTTTTAGGTTAGCTCTTATTATCGAGATTTTTTAGATTTAATTTGTAAGTAGGCCAGAAAAAACGTTATTTTTCTTATTTGAGGGCCATTTATTAAATATAAATTGCTGATATATATTGAATAAATGCTGTTAAAAAAACTGATTTAGTCGATTTTATAGTGATTTTTCATGATTTTTTCGCTTACGTTGTATGCTACTGAACCGGCTAGCCGCGGCTTGTTAAAAATAAATAAATAAAATATTGCAAACAATTGAGGGCCTTAGAATAAAAGGGGTATAAGTACACTTTTGAACAAATCTGAGATAAGTGCATAGATGACTACCTAAAGTCCACATTTGTTTACTATAAAAGAAATACAAGAGATACAAGTGATTTTTAGGCCATCTATTAGCGACTAGAACTATTATGTGTATGAAAGCAAAAATTATTTGCAATAAAACTGAACTTTAAATGCTACTATCTCAAAATTTTAATGATTGTACTTATACCCCTTTTATTCTAGGGGCCTCAATTGTTTATTTTGTTTTAAACAGTAAATGGCTATAAAAATCGATTTCCTTTCATCTTAACTCAATAAGTGATTTAAAAAAGAAGAAATCGGTATAACTCGAAAACAAGAGCTAACCTGGAAAAACGACTAGCACTATTGCTATAGCGTACTTGATTCCTTCTTATGCGGGGGCTTGTTAGATTTTTGAACTGTTTTGCCTCGGTTAGCAGTACTTGAAAATTTATAATGATAATAATATAAAAATCAATTTGGTACACAGTATACAGTTTTTTTATTTAAATAATTAAATTAAATAAGTTTTATTTTGTTTTAAAACAAGTTATTGGTAAAAAAAATCATTATTAATTTTTCCAAAATTTTTGCCAAAAATTACGAGTTCTTTTATTTTGTATTTTCTGTAAATTTTGACGGTATTATTTTTAATTCGAATGAAAATATAAAACTAAAATAAATTAAATTATAAAATTAATTAATTCAAGTTTATAAAAAATATGTCGTTTATTCGGCCCCATAATTTTTTATTTTAAAATTTACATTTAATTTTACAGATAATATAGTCATCTTAAATCCGCCCTAAACATTCTTAAATTTTATAAAATTACTGATTTCAGGGCTTACAAAATTTTTTACAATACAGCATAATATAATGTTGAGGATTTAACAGCATTTACAGGTATATATATTTTTTTCTACGCTTATTACGGAATTTGACAGTTCTTACATGACTTTTTAATCTGGAATTACGTATATTCCATAAAGTGTTACAGAATAATTATTCCGCACAGATTCTAATGATGGAATGAGCACTGGGGGCGACATCTCTATGTTTATTTTATAACTCACTTGTATTCCTACCAAATCTAGTTTTTTCAGAAAGGCCCGGTAGAAAATATTAATCGGTAGTATACAATAGGATTTAAAACAGTTTGCGTTAACAAAAATACCCAAAATATATCTTCTTTACAAGCTAGTTGTAATTCTGTTTGGCCGATTTAGTAGGATTCTATTAGAATATTTAGGTTTGACTTAGTCCCAAAGAGATGGCAGCACTGGTTAATTGTTTACGTCTGTCATTGGTTAATTCAAAATTTTAAATTCAAATAATAACTTATTTGCCATTCCTTACAATTTGTCCATTTCTTCTTTATACTTCCTAATTTAGGTTCTGCAAAATTATGTAAGTAATTTTTATAAGCTTATTTAAAAATTATCTTATTTACTACCATCATAAAATCTAACATCTGTCAAAAGATAACCTAACTTTTTTCCAATTAAATTATTTCTGTGGTATTTTTTATAAGCGTAGAAAAAGTATAGTCTGAAACACGTTTGGAATTGCATATTCCGCTCTCGTGAAACCGTCACACTCGCCTTCGGCTCGTGTGACAAACTTTTCACTCGAGCGGAATATGCTGTATTCCAAACTTGTTACAGAATATACTATTATAAACAAATGTATAGGTACTAGGAATATCTCATACTTAAATATTTTTTTAGTTTTTTACACATTATCACATTTTTTTGGGTTTTTGTAATTTCTTCAGGTAACATGATATATGTTTGTATACTTCTGTATAGCGTTTTTTTATCTTCTTTTTTCATTTCTGAACTTTAGAATCTGAAGTCATAATTTTTCCTTGTATTATGTTCATGGACTTGTTTTCCTTGCAACATATTGATGTTGGTTTTGATGTTCTTCTTCTGGATGTTGTGAATGAGTTTAGCCTGCTGAAATTTTATTAGTTGCCTAATTTGCGGAATTTTTGTTTATTATAGATCTCCTCCTTGGACATATTTACTAAATCCATACATTGTTTCCACAGCGTTGTTTTGTACTCTTTGTAGTTTATTTAATAAATATTCAGCAGCATTTTCCCAGCATGGAACTAAATATCTTAAGTGTGGCATGATAAAACTGTTGTATAACAAGTCTTGCATTTTTATTTAAGTATCCTGAGCATCTTCTAATAGCACATATCATGGGAACTATTTAACATGGTAATTCCAACTAAGATTTTCATTCATTATATATTTTATGTCACAACCTGTTAAAAATAAATTAATTATCCTATAACCATTATAAAATGTGAAATGTCCAAAAACTCATTGTAAATCAATTTAAAATGTCAAACTATCTTACACGGTGTTCTTAAAGGCGCGATAAGTATAACAAAAATCACGAAAAAATCTGTTCAAAGGGTTTTGTTCTGCTTTTTTTCTAGTTTTCAGATATGTTTACATCAAAATCCTATTTGCTTGGTTATTTGAGTTATTTAATTTTTTCGGATTTTAACAGTTTGAACATCCCATCGCGTTCCCTCAGGCAAGCTATAATGCTAAAATGCGTTTTTGTACTCTTCGCGGTTAATGTATGTGCGTTTTTTTTAAAACCCAGTTGCAACTGGACTTAGATACATATGTCTACTACATTAAAAATAAAAAAATCCATAAAAATACGAATAAAAAAAAGAAAAATACGAAATAAATTTATTTTTAACTATGCGACAAAGAAAATAAACAAAAATAATTTGAAATTTTACCAAAAATTACAAAATTTTAGAGATGGCGTGAAGAAAATTCCACAACTGCCATTTTTAACCTTGATAAGTAAGACTTATGTGCAAAGGAATTTACTTTGTACTTTTCCCAGTGTTTTAAAAATTCTCTGTGAGCTGACTCTCCAGATTGCTCCGACCACAAACCTAACCCATCTTCCAAAATACTTAAACTTTCTCTTAGATGACTAAGAAGAACATGAATTTTCAAAGTTTGGGATATTCCGGTAGCTTTAAAAGCAGTGTTTAGGTCATTAATATATTTTTCTAATTTATTTTCATACAGTTTTTCAGTCGAAAAAGATGCCTGGACAATTTTGTCCATAGCCTTAAAGGCCGACACATATGGAACGAGTGCTAAAGGACCAACATTTTTGGTAATCTCACTGTCCATTAGTTTATCGGCTTCCTTAATTAGCTTTCGGCAAGCATTTCCCTCAAAAATGTCTCCCTGGTAATGCTTTGAGACAACATTAATCTTTTCAGGCCATTTCAGTGCTTGTTCTCTTCCAACAAGAGCAACTATTCCATTCCAAAATAAATGGTTTACAAACCCTTGCAGCACATGTAACTCAGGAATAACACATTTTTCAATCACAGAAACGCTCTGGTTTTCTTCAAAAAGCGGTGGATTTATGCTACTGTGACATTGTTTTGCGAATTTTTTATCTTTGTTTAAATTCAAAAATTGTTGATAATCCTTTTTTAAATCACCGTAAGTTTTAAGATTATTTTTTATTGATTCATCTTGGGCTGTATTATACGATTTATTGTCTTGTTTGTTTCTTAAAATATCATGGTCATTGTACATTCTTAGTTCATTTAAGGATATAAAACAGTATGGACACGGAAAGGTAGATGTTGCTGTTTGTTGTCCATTAACCATTAAAAGTAACTTAAAGTCTGAAACAAACTTAAACGAAATTTGATTTAGTTTTACCAGATCAAACAATAATTGCATATTTTCGTAAGTTTCTTTGATTTGTGGCACAATGCAAACCATTATTAACTTACTAACACTGGTTAGTTTATTTTGATTACTGCAAGTACCCCCTTCAGAATACAAAGTACGTTTTTTAGGTTGGGAGTCTATCTCATTCGATTCTGGGTCTATCTCTTCTATATTTGATTTTCTTGGAAAAACAGACATGCAAACTTTAAGAAATCCTTGCCCACCATCCGCTGTTATTTTCACATTGCAATGTCCAATCAAATTTCGGTATTCCACAACATTATCCAGTAGTTCTGGAGCATCAGCCCAAATGACAGGC